AGGCCCTGGTTTTTATTATTCTTTGTTTCCACAGGATTTCTACTGAGAAATTCTGGGCTGTGGGAGTGAGGAATTTAGTGCTGAGCAAAGGGTTAAGTTTGGATGTAGAAATTAAAGTAAAAAGGCCATGGAAAAATGTATCCGATTTAAGCTTACCTTTCACAGAATCAGAGAATCACAGAGTTGTTGAGGTTGGCAAAGCCTTTTAAGCTGCCTCAGCCCAACCATTCCCCTACCCCTGCCATCCCACCCCCAAACCCTGGCCCTCAGCACCACCTCTGCCCGGCTGTTAAATCCCCCCAGGGGTGGGGACTCGACCCCTTCCCTGGGCAGCCCCTTCCAGTGCCTGACAGCCCCAAGGGGAAGGAATTGTTCCCCATGGCCAACCTCACCCTGCCCTGGCACAACTTGAGGCCATGAGCCGCAACTTGAGGCCAACTTTGACCAGCTCGACTATTTCTCCAGCCCATCTGCAAAGCCTGGAGCAATTCCCTGCTCTCCTCCTTTGACGATTTGACGTGTCAGACCTCCAATACAGCAGATTAATTGGGAACCACCCAAATAAAAGAAAATAAAACTCAGGAAAGCAGCAATAGGAAATACCCATTTCCATCTATCGGAGCACACACGTTGCAGAAGGCCATGTAAATGGAGCGATGCAGTCCTACCTCTGCACGTCTAACTATTTTAAATATGAAATTTAGTTTTGGAAGTGGATAATGAGGAGTGTGTTGGACGATGTAAATCAAGACCTTAATCCTTCCCGCTGCTGGTTCCATCCTGGAGCAACGTGTATGGTGCTGCTGTCGCAGGGCGTTATTTGGTGTGGCCATCCTCTGTCAAGGGGATGGATGGATGGACGGACGGACCTGTCTGGGTTTGGAGGAACGGTGAGTACTGACATGTCATCGTCTGAAGTGGGCAGCGTCCTGCGGCTCAGCTGGGTAGAAGATGCCCAATTTGGGCATTTGGAAACATGCAGGTGCTTTTGATGGCAGAAGCTGTTGTGAAGCTCTGTCTAGAAGGGCGCCTGCTATGTAAGAGGCCAACTGAGTGAGCGTTTTGAAGTTCCCTCATTAGCACTGGTATCTTGGACAGGAATAACTGATTATTTCCTGTCGTATTAGAGAGGAGCTCCTGAAATCGCTTTGGTTATCAGTTTTGCGGCTACCTTTACGTTTCCTAGGTTTCAGCAGGCAGCGGGGGCGGATTCTGTCAGCAATGGTTTTTAACTTGGATCTTTCCAGCCTTCGTTTCATCAGCTGGTTTCCGAGGTGAGAAGACATCCCTTCTCCCATTGAAAAGACCAGTTCTTGCCGTAGGCCGTTTTAATTTAGGCTCCTAAGCAGAGATATAAATGCAAGGCTCTCTTTAACGACCCATTTTTCAGACGGGCGCGGCGCCGGGGGGGGGGGGGGTACCATGCATTGCAAATACCGCTTACCACAGTGATTCCTTTGGGAAGGAAGAGCCGCTAGCGGAGGCATCCCTTCCCTCCTTCCACCTGGGGAGGGTATTTCTCTATCAATTTCTCTATCAAAATTTCCCCAGGGTTGTTACAGGGCTGGGGTCCTTTGCCCTTTCTTTTACACCAGTATGATGCCAAGGTGGCTCTAAAAATGCCGTCTCCATCCGAAGAGGTGGGAAGATAAGAAGACAGAAATCAAACCCACCCTGCAGTATTTCAGCTCTAGGTTCAGGACTCTGTGGGGGGGACATT